AAAGTTCTTATATTTGACTCAATCTTTGTCATATGGCACATATTTTCGTCATTTCAGTAGCCTTGTTGATCTAAAACGAACAAGGAAGAAGAAGAGAAAAAGGCAACACAAATGAAATAACACTCTGAGGTACCAGTTTTATGCATGTTTCCAATCTTGATTTTAGTTTTATTTAAATAATTGGTATATGTTAAATTTGGCTAAACTGGTTAAATATTTGAAGCTACTTCTTGTTTGATTGTTGCTAAATTTGCTTGCATATATCAGTTTTGTTCTGTTTCATATTCACTTTTATGCAATTCAAGTATTTTTATGGCAAGAAATGGTGTGAGTGAATACAGATCTTAACTACTCCAAAGAGACTTCTAACTTTGCAGCAAATACATACTAATATACTATGCTGGCTAAGTGGACTAAACACGAGAAAAACATACCTTGTAAAGCATCTATCCACCACACATCTTATCAGAATGTGAAGCGCTTGTTTCAGCGGCTGCAAGTGATGAACAATGACAGAACCTTAGGCTTGAATGAAATTCCTACATACCTTGTAGAAGCATCTTAAAGTGTGCGGGAAAATTAAGCTGATGGACGGTTAGTTGTAGCACAAGTCAGTTCAAACTCCCTTCTAGCTAGTAGTCTAGTACTAAGTACTAACAGTCTAACACTCAGTGACTTCAATTGATGTGAACACCCAGCAATCATGGAATTGCATTAGATAACAATTTTAATACCAACAGGAAATTCATTCAGAGTTCAGCCCATCCCAAGTTGTCCTCGCACTTAACACGAGTAGAAGAAATACTACATTATTTTTCCCAACTGAAATATTCAGCAGAAATTAAAGGGACTCCTTTTGCAGCACAGAAGTCATCTGCAAAATTAACTTCTCTTTTAGTACGTGTGATTTGAAACCATCCAAAGAAATCTTTGACAGGTTCTCTCACCCATACTTTGGTCTATCACCTTGTTGGCTTGTTCCCATGCTTAATCTACAAATCAACACAACTTTAAACAAAAAATCTCTGGGGTTCGTCAAATTATTCGTATGATTTGTTTGAGCATTCGAGAGTGGTGAAATTGTTCAAAGTGATTTTCATGCAAAAAGAATGCTCAGTGATACTAGGGTCCCTGTCAGAATGCTAGGGTAGTAACATAATTGGTTTCGACTTCAATTTGTAATCACATAACATGGACGTGACTCAGTTCTATCATAACGATTTAATGATTGAAAATAAGCAAATTAGTTTGTTCGCAATAAACCCTATTTATGCTATTGCATTGTGGCAAGTTCAAACAGTTTCAAGATCACCATGAAATAGTTTTAATGTATAATTAAGATGTAAACAGAGATTTAAAAAAATTTAGTCGGTAAAACACCAATTTCATGTAACTGGGTTAAAAGAGTCTACAACTTGCAATACCAATATAAAAAACACTGCTGCCCTGTATACAGTGCACCAGCATTCTTCTTTGCAAGCCAGAGACTTTGTTTTTAAATAGTTCCCCCAGTAGATTTAACTTGTGGTTTAACACAAATTACTTTTATAATCTAGAGTCCAGACTAGCTATTGTAAATTCCAATGTCTTATAATTTGGTTGTTTTGGATTTTGGGGGATTAGGCTGCCCCTGTTCTTTGATTTGACTGCCCCTTTTCAAAAACCAGGTATGAGAAGTTTTACTTCATCTTTCAAATGCTGTACATCACAAAACTTGCAAACACATAAAAAGGGTAATAAACATAAACATAAAGGAGAGTCAGAAATCTCGTGTGGAATGCTGTAGCTCATTGCATCCAAAGATGCTGCTTTAAGCATAAAAAGATGTTCATCATTCTAATATGATTTATCAATAGAAGAAGAACAAGAGATCTCAACCAAGTTAATATTTTTTTTTATTAAATTGACGAAATTAGATTAAGATTACAAGAAACCTAGACTCCCTAATCAATCAAAAAAAAATAATTAAATCATAATTCCAAATCCCAATATATTGAATTAAAACAAAATGCAATTTATGAATAGACAAAAAGTAGAAGAAAAAAAAAGGAACCATCAGAAACCAAAATTTATCCACAAAAGCGTTAATTAAAACACTATAATACGGTCCGCATCGTGGTTGGTCTTTCAAAGACCGCATCACTTGGTTCCTTCTTCTTTCTTTATTTATAACAAAA